GTAACATTTAGAAACCAGAAGGAAGGAGAAAAAAAAACCCACCTGGAATATTAACAGACTCCTAAAATGTATGGAAGTGTTTTATTTCTTAAAAGTATAGCTTCAAGAAAACAGAATGCTCAAATATGACAAATTACTACTCAAGGGGGAAAAAGCCTCCACAGCTCTCTGTTAAGTTGGAGCCAGTAATTCAAATAAACCAAGCTAGAGAAAATAGGAACTATATGTAATTAACAACTTAACAAAACACCTATAAAAATTTTAAATCTTCCCATCTTTTGGCTATGAAATCAGTAAAATTAACATAAGGATATTTTGGAAGGGCTTAAGGTCACATTCAGAATTAAACAGAAAACATTCAGGACCAGGGATTTAGCTCAGTGGATCTGCCACCAGCCTTACAAGTGCAAGGTTCTGAGTTTGATCCCTGGTACCAAAGAAAAAGAAAACATCCAAAGGCAGAAAACAAAATGAGAAATTTCATTAGCTGCATGATTCTATCTACCCCATCTAAACAGAAAACAGTCTGGATTATGACTATCCCAACAGGTGCTTAATTTCAAAACTAACACCACCAATTCAGATTGACCAAACAGGGATGGGGATTTAGCTCAATTGCACACATCTGCCTCACAAGTGCAAGGTCCTGACTTCGATCCCCTGTACAAAAAACAAAAAACAAAAACTAAAAAATAATAAAAATAAAACAGATTGACCAAATAAGCTGCTTTTCTTTTCTGTTCTGCCCGTGTCCTGCCACATATATGCTTGAGTTTAATGAAGACTGCCCTTTGCAACTGCTCCTGAGAGCAAAGAAGAGATAGAGTAATAAAGTAAGCCTGAGAAGTCCTACGCCCCTAAGGGCATTTTCCCTGGCTGGTTATGGCCATTTTATGCTTCAACACAAATGGCTTAAAGGCTGTTCTGGGGAAAAAAATCACGTCCTGCTTTTTAGGATACCCTATGAAAGACCATCAAATAAACAACTAATTACCAGCAATTAGCCTAAAGCTCTCCGGTAATGATAAAAAATTAAAAACAAAAGAAAAAATGGCTTAAAAGATTCCTACCTTTTATTCTGTTTTTGTTGATGTTCAGGGAAAACAGCTTTCCCACAATTCACTGTGGCCTGGACTCAAGGACACTAACTTGTATTGGGGCCAATTTGAACCTAAGTCAAACTGCATTTTTCTCAGGTCTACTCAGCTGACACATGGCACTTCACTGGTGACTTTTTTCATATGATCTTTAAGAAGAATTCATAAGTTGCATTGATTATGCCCCCAAGAGATGAGGGACCGATGATAATTCAGATGGGCACCCCTGAAGAGATTTGTCAGTTTCCTGTTCCATTCTAGCCAGATTGTTTTGAAAACCTTGGAGAAAGACTGAAACTCCCCACCAATCTGAGACTGTATGTGAGTTTTTACAACATTAACTGGAAAAAACAAGAACACCAACATGGCACCCAATACAACTCCACAGGTGAAGTCATTAACCAAATGAGCACTGTGAGTTGTTGCAGTAGGCAGATGTTCCTTTATGGGACCTTGAAGGCCAAAAAAAAAAACATTGCTGAATCCATTATGGAAAAGTACGGGCACCAAGCCTCGATAATAGTCTCTAATTCCATGGCATTTCAGCGCCCTGAAGGCCTGATAAGTGTATGTAAATTTGTCATGATGCTTGTGGTCTTGAAGCAATGTCTGAACTCTTTCCAATGGAGTGAAAATGGCTGCTGTTGTCCCTGCAAGTATTGCAGCTGCACCACGGGTTGCAAGCTCTGGAGCACTGACATGCTTATGGAGAAGGCAAGACAAATCCTCATACAGACCAAACATAAGTGCCAGGGTAGTTGTTTTCTGCATTAATGGGGGAAGGATGCCACAATACAAGTTTTGAAATCTGTCCCTCCTTAACTGAAGTACTGAATCCTGGGTGTTGATTCCATAAAGCTGCTGCCAAAAGAGGACCTTCTGAACTGGAGATGTGATTGCTATATTGCTGAAAGCTGCACAGCAGCCACACAAATAATGCTTCATTTCAGAAAACACTGGTGATGTGAGGTGATATGTCTTGCTTTGAAGATGTTAGGATTGGTGGTCTCTTTTCCTGAGCTTCTGAATCCATCATGTTGCTTCTGATCTCTCTTGTTCATGAAGGATTTTTTAATGTGACATCAGCTGAGCCTTGCATTGTAGGGAATGACAGGTTTCTGGCAACTTTCTCAATTTCTTCCATTGGTACTGGTTGTTAGGTTATCTTTTCTGGAGTCGATTTTTTTTTTTTTTGGTGCCGTGGATCGAAATCAGGACTTGGCGCTTGAGTGGCAGGTGCCAGAACCACTGAGCTAAATCCCCAGCCCTCTGGAGTCAATTTTGATAACTACTTTTCAGAGACTGATGCCACTACCCCCATATGAAGGGCATTATACAATTGTTTCCTATAAGGTGATGCAACATGGTGTCACAAAACAAGCATTCAGGCATCCATTTCTCCAATCCATGGCCACAGGTGCTGGCCCCATGCCCAGTGCCCCCCACTCATCTGCTGGATGGGCTGGGAGTGAGCCCATGCCCAAGCAGGCCTGGATTATTTTCTCAAGGTCCGTGAAGTATGCTCCTAGGATTTCAATTGGGATTGCATTTAATCTATATAGCAGTTTTGGAAGTATGGTCATTTTCACTATGTTGATCCTTCCTACCCAGGAGCAGGGGATGCCTTTCCATTTTCTGATATCATCTTCAATCTCTCTTTTCAGAGGGCCATAGTTTTCAGAGAAGAGGTCTTTGATTTCTTT